TTTCTCTCTCCATTCTCAACATAGCCTCAATCAAAAGTGTTTAGTCTCTGTTCAGCCCGACTTGGCCCGTGCTGTCAAAAACACCTTAAACCTTACACATGTATCTTGAAATGTCTTTATAGCCATAGATTAGTGTTATATCTACCTACATATCACTTCACAGAGTCTCAAAGCGTAGTATTTGAAGCAAACACCTTGCTCAAAGTGAAGCCCTATTTTCTATACATTCTAAACAAAGACACAGTATCACAAGCTTTCGGTCCGGCTTGGCCCGGGCTCTCAAACGCACCTTATACCTCACACATGTATCTTGAAATGTGTTTAAATCCATAGATTGGTATTATATCTACCTAAACATCCCTTTGTAATGTTGTCAAATGCAATATGTAAAGATAACTGGTTCGTTAAAGTTAGGTCTTCACTTTGAGCAAGGTGTTTGCTTCAAATACTACGCTTTGAGACTCTGTGAAGTGATATGTAGGTAGATATAACACTAATCTATGGCTATAAAGACATTTCAAGATACATGTGTGAGGTTTAAGGTGTTTTTGACAGCACGGGCCAAGTCGGGCTGAACAGAGACTAAACACTTTTGATTGAGGCTATGTTGAGAAAGGAGAGAGAAAAGGGCTAACTTTAAAGAACCAGTTATCTTTACATGTTGCATGTGATAACATTACAAAGTGATATTTAGGTAGATATAATACCAATCTATGGATTTAAACACATTTCAAGATACATCTATGAGGTATAAGGTGCGTTTGAGAGCCCTGGCCAAGCCGGACCGAAAGCTTGTGATACTGTGTCTTTGTTGAGAATGTATAGAAAATAGGGCTTCACTTTGAGCAAGGTGTTTGCTTCAAATACTACGCTTTGAGACTCTGTGAATTGATATGTAGGTAGATATAACACTAATGTATGGACATAAACACATTTCAAGATACATGTGTGAGGTTTAAGGTGTTTTTGACAGCACGGGCCAAGTCGGGCTGAATAGAGACTAAACACTTTTGATTGAGGCTATGTTGAGAATGGAGAGAGAAAAGGGCTAACTTTAAAGAACCAGTTATCTTTACATGTTGCATGTGATAACATTACAAAGTGATATTTAGGTAGATATAATACCAATCTATGGATTTAAACACATTTCAAGATACATCTATGAGGTATAAGGTGCGTTTGAGAGCCCTGGCCAAGCCGGACCGAAAGCTTGTGATACTGTGTCTTTGTTGAGGATGTATAGAAAATAGGGCTTCACTTTGAGCAAGGTGTTTGCTTCACATACTACGCTTTGAGACTCTGTGAAGTGATATGTAGGTAGATATAACACTAATCTATGGCTATAAAGACATTTCAAGATACATGTGTGAGGTTTAAGGTGTTTTCGACAGCACGGGCCAAGTCGGGCTGAACAGAGACTAAACACTTTTGATTGAGGCTATGTTGAGAATGGAGAGAGAAAAGGGCTAACTTTAACGAACCAGTTATCTTTACATGTTGCATGTGATAACATTACAAAGTGATATTTAGGTAGATATAATACCAATCTATGGATTTAAACACATTTCAAGATACATCTATGAGGTATAAGGTGCGTTTGAGAGCCCTGGCCAAGCCGGACCGAAAGCTTGTGATACTGTGTCTTTGTTGAGAATGTATAGAAAATAGGGCTTCACTTTGAGCAAGGTGTTTGCTTCAAATACTACGCTTTGAGACTCTGTGAAGTGATATGTAGGTAGATATAACACTTATGTATGGACATAAACACATTTCAAGATACATGTGTGAGGTTTAAGGTGTTTTTTTGACAGCACGGGCCAAGTCGGGCTGAACAGAGACTAAACACTTTTGATTGAGGCTATGTTGAGAATGGAGAGAGAAAAGGGCTAACTTTAAAGAACCAGTTATCTTCACATGTTGCATTTGATAACATTACAAAGTGATATTTAGGTAGATATAATACCAATCTATGGATTTAAACACATTTCAAGAAACATCTATGAGGTATAAGGTGCGTTTGAGAGCCCTGGCCAAGCCGGACCGAAAGCTTGTGATACTGTGTCTTTGTTTAGGATGTATAGAAAATAGGGCTTCACTTTGAGCAAGGTGTTTGCTTCACATACTACGCTTTGAGACTCTGTGAAGTGATATGTAGGTAGATACAATACCAATCTATGGACATAAAGTCATTTCAAGATACATGTGTGAGGTTTAAGGTGTTTTTGACAGCACAGGCCAAGTCGGGCTGAACAGAGACTAAACACTTTTGATTGAGGCTATGTTGAGAATGGAGAGAGAAAAGGGCTAACTTTAAAGAACCAGTTATCTTTACATGTTGCATGTGATAACATTACAAAGTGATATTTAGGTAGATATAATACCAATCTATGGATTTAAACACATTTCAAGATACATCTATGAGGTATAAGGTGCGTTTGAGAGCCCTGGCCAAGCCGGACCGAAAGCTTGTGATACTGTGTCTTTGTTGAGAATGTATAGAAAATAGGGCTTCACTTTGAGCAAGGTGTTTGCTTCAAATACTACGCTTTGAGACTCTGTGAAGTGATATGTAGGTAGATATAACACTTATGTATGGACATAAACACATTTCAAGATACATGTGTGAGGTTTAAGGTGTTTTTGACAGCACGGGCCAAGTCGGGCTGAACAGAGACTAAACACTTTTGATTGAGGCTATGTTGAGAATGGAGAGAGAAAAGGGCTAACTTTAAAGAACCAGTTATCTTCACATGTTGCATTTGATAACATTACAAAGTGATATTTAGGTAGATATAATACCAATCTATGGATTTAAACACATTTCAAGAAACATCTATGAGGTATAAGGTGCGTTTGAGAGCCCTGGCCAAGCCGGACCGAAAGCTTGTGATACTGTGTCTTTGTTTAGGATGTATAGAAAATAGGGCTTCACTTTGAGCAAGGTGTTTGCTTCACATACTACGCTTTGAGACTCTGTGAAGTGATATGTAGGTAGATACAATACCAATCTATGGACATAAAGTCATTTCAAGATACATGTGTGAGGTTTAAGGTGTTTTTGACAGCACGGGCCAAGTCGGGCTGAATAGAGACTAAACACTTTTGATTGAGGCTATGTTGAGAATGGAGAGAGAAAAGGGCTAACTTTAAAGAACCAGTTATCTTTACATGTTGCATGTGATAACATTACAAAGTGATATTTAGGTAGATATAATACCAATCTATGGATTTAAACACATTTCAAGATACATCTATGAGGTATAAGGTGCGTTTGAGAGCCCTGGCCAAGCCGGACCGAAAGCTTGTGATACTGTGTCTTTGTTGAGGATGTATAGAAAATAGGGCTTCACTTTGAGCAAGGTGTTTGCTTCACATACTACGCTTTGAGACTCTGTGAAGTGATATGTAGGTAGATATAACACTAATCTATGGCTATAAAGACATTTCAAGATACATGTGTGAGGTTTAAGGTGTTTTTGACAGCACGGGCCAAGTCGGGCTGAACAGAGACTAAACACTTTTGATTGAGGCTATGTTGAGAATGGAGAGAGAAAAGGGCTAACTTTAAAGAACCAGTTATCTTTACATGTTGCATGTGATAACATTACAAAGTGATAATTAGGCAGATATAATACCAATCTATGGATTTAAACACATTTCAAGATACATCTATGAGGTATAAGGTGCGTTTGAGAGCCCTGGCCAAGCCGGACCGAAAGCTTGTGATACTGTGTCTTTGTTGAGAATGTATAGAAAATAGGGCTTCACTTTGAGCAAGGTGTTTGCTTCAAATACTACGCTTTGAGACTCTGTGAAGTGATATGTAGGTAGATATAACACTTATGCATGGACATAAACACATTTCAAGATACATGTGTGAGGTTTAAGGTGTTTTTGACAGCACGGGCCAAGTCGGGCTGAACAGAGACTAAACACTTTTGATTGAGGCTATGTTGAGAATGGAGAGAGAAAAGGGCTAACTTTAAAGAACCAGTTATCTTCACATGTTGCATTTGATAACATTACAAAGTGATATTTAGGTAGATATAATACCAATCTATGGATTTAAACACATTTCAAGAAACATCTATGAGGTATAAGGTGCGTTTGAGAGCCCTGGCCAAGCCGGACCGAAAGCTTGTGATACTGTGTCTTTGTTTAGGATGTATAGAAAATAGGGCTTCACTTTGAGCAAGGTGTTTGCTTCACATACTACGCTTTGAGACTCTGTGAAGTGATATGTAGGTAGATACAATACCAATCTATGGATTTAAACACATTTCAAGATACATCTGTGAGGTTTAGGTTGTTTTTGACAGCCCGGACGAAGTCGGGCTGAACAGAGACTAAACAGTTTTGATTGAGGTTATGTTGAAAAATGAGAGACAAGGGCTTCACTTTAACGGAGCAGTTTTCTTTACATATTGCATTTTATAACATTAGAAAGCGATATTTAGGTAGATATAATACCAGTCTATGGAATTAAACACAAGATACGTGTGTTACGTTTAAGTTGCTTTAGACGGCTCGAGCCAAGACGGGCGGAAAATTGTGGCCGAGATAATGTTGAGAGTGTGGGGAAGAGATCGTATCATTTCAATGTGCGCATGCTTTAAATACGATGAATAGTGAATTTATGGGGTGGTATGTGATTTGATATAGATGTAAAAACATTTTCGGGCCAACGGAAATGTGTATCGGAATTGGCTGAAGTATTTATACGTATTAAGTCCCGTTTCGTTTAACGATTCCACTTTTAGACGTAACCTCGGTCAGCCAGTTCACAGGCTTCTCGTCTTCCTGGATTTTAGCCGATTTACTCGTAATAAAGTTATTATGGTACGCGTTTGTTGCTTCCGATTGATCATTATTATCATGAATGTATGTTGCATTGAGTAGTTGTAGGCATGATTTTCGTTAATGGGTTTATTAGCCAATAATAGATTTGGCCCGCCTTGGCCCGGCCCGGCCCGGCCCGACTTTTAGGCCATCCCCTGGTGTACACTGGACAGCAATTGTGCACCAAGATGTGTTCATGCTCTTCTGGGTACCAGTCGACATCAAGGAGGGTGTCACACACTGACAGGACTTACTCCGACACTAGACATTTGGAATATACAATACAAACATTCAAAAATTGTAAAAAAAATATGCAATATAATTTACATTAATTAAAATTTGTCAGTAAGTGTTGTTTTATTACCCTAACTTTTCTGTATTTTTTAAAGCATGGTCTATAAGGAAAGTCAGATTTAAATATTGTATTAATTAACATGCGAAATAACATACAGGTAATTTGTTCTTTATTTTATATCTTTATTAATGTTCTTACCGAAATGAGTTGGTTTGTGTCTGTTCCCACGTCAACTGTCTCAGTAGTAGAAGATGTACGTGAGTGGATGTTGACAGCTTCGTTTTCCTCCACACACTGACTGCCCTCCGGCATCGAGGGGAACTAGTATTGGTAAACACCACCCCCAGTCGTGAATGAGAACGGCTACAAATTTCAAAAGAAAAGCATTCGATGACGTTATTCACCCCCCCAAAAATTCTACAAATGGTTCCGATTCAAAATCACAAAACCAAGCACAATACTTTTAGCTCAACGATCAGCTGATCACCGAGGATCGATGTCATTGAAACCAGGAAGTGAACGAGACGCACACCTAATTAGCTACCGAAACTATGAATAAATACTTCTGTATTTTATATATATAAACTACAGTCTTATAAACTAGGGTAGCATGTTTACATTATTTTGGTATTCACTTACTTACCAGAGTTCCCTCGACTTTACGTCGTTTGTTTACAAAAACTGACCAGTCGGGCTCTTGATGAGAGTGCTGTCCCTTGACCTCATTACCATACAAGGATGGAACCGCATCGGGGCGTAGTTGTTTCCGATCAGCTGACTGACTGAGAGTCGTCGATCGCGACACACGACACCAAGTATCGAAGTGCGCCACACACCCCCGCGATTCACTAGTCGGGCCATTCCAGTCACTATCCTTCTTTTTACAGAATTTTATCCATTCTTGTCTTCTCCGTGGTGATTTGGGGGAGCGGAAATAACTCACTTTGGTTTCATGTTTGTTTGCATTGTGGTTCATACAGCGAGGAACCGAACAGTGCACCATGTTCAATTCAATAGGATGCGCATCTGAGGCGCTGGAATCAAACACTTGTGCTTGCACTACGTGAAGCGGTTCCATACAACCTGATGACGTCATTTGTTTATAAATGTGGCACCAATTACGTCATTTCCAAGGGACATAAGCCATGGTGTTTTTACTATTGAAATGGAACACTTGGTAAATGTGTAAAATAAAAATCGTTTTCCTGCAAAAAATATATAGTTAATTTTATAATTTTACTGTTTTTGTCTTTAAAAGTACCAAGTAAATAATTTTCATATTAAAAAAGAGCAAGAAAAATAGGTTCATTTTCGTGTACACTTGCTAAGTCAGGCAAACATTTCAGTGAGATAACCACAGCCTTCTGTCAGCTGCATGTAACGCCTCGCCCGTTGTTGTTCATGTATTGACCTAGATTATAAAACCGATTTCCTACTTTCTTTTTCATTTTTCCAAGTATAGCAGTTCATTTACAGTTCACTGGAATACATACGAGAGAGCAGTGTTCTATAGGAACACAATATGTATCTTTCAGAACATCAATGTACTTAATAGTTGCTTCTATTGTATTGTAACATTTGTATTGCGATTTTTCTATACTGGAATACTTTGCTCATTGTTGTTTGATGTCATGTGGATTGCAAATGGCGTCCATTATATGATGAGATCACCTTTGAATACTACGTTGTAAACAAACATGAAACGTTTCAACTAAGGAGGAAAATACTTCTTTAAGAACGCGATTTCTACTTGTACAGCCGACACTATAATAAATTCACTTATTATTAACATGTCCGGTGGACTCGTCATTGCTTACACACAGTTACATATATAACAAGATTCAAAATCTGAACAATAATCTATTAGTTTGAATGACAATAAAGATAGATAAAGATACATGACAGGACCAGTTATAAAAGCAGTACTTACATAACCTGGGATGTTGCTTCAGGAGTGGAACTTCGGAATGTGGATTTCGTTGGACAACCATGACAGCCGTCCAACTCATGTCCACGGAAAACTAAATACGCATGTCGGTGCACATGCGCAGTTCATTGTAGGAAAATTACAATATCTTTTCTAACATTACATAGGACTAGTATCAAATGCCCTTAGAGAAAAGCATTCTGTGCTCAGGTGTTTAATTACTAAAAAAGAATGATACAAAAGAATGTTCATTTGACTACATCACATATGTCTAAATATGAACATGATCTGAGCATGAGTGACGTCACATTAAGCTGCCGTATAAAGTGAAATTCTTGGAAACTTATTGTCGGTGTTCAACAAGGCAGTGGCCTCAGTCCTATTCTTTATTGGTGGGTCATCAACAAAGCGTCGCCGCACATAACCGCCCCTTTGATGATGGCTATAAATTTCAGATTACATGTTGTTGGTGTAGTACTTATAGCTGACACAGCTGAGTCGATAACATAAACAGAATGATATTAAGTATGCGTGGCATATACATGTTCTTTGTTGAACACATAACTTGAAGCAACATGGAGAGATAAATTCAAGTGGACCAGTTAGTGATTGAGAGAAGAGCTTTAAGCAATATCACGTCGAAGGACACCAGAGTTGAGCTTCATCATTGTACCCTTATAATCAACCCCAAACCAGGATGAGCGAACGCTCTAAACACAAGTCTACCCTAGCGTACATAAACATCATTGTTAGGACAAACTCTGACTCACCGTGTCGGGTATTTCTTTATTAGCGTGTCTAATGCATGCCTGATGTTTTCTAAATAGACCAGTAATGTAGTGGGTTTTTCCTTCATATCATAACACTGAAATTAATTAAGTTTGACTTTGGATAAGGTTATAAGTCATAAATATACAAGACATAATATGTATATGTAATGTCGTTAAAACGCGGGAACTAATCATCCGAATCGTGCACTCGTTAAGGTGTAAATTACAATACTGCGGGTTCTATCTGAGTGCAACAACTAATCACAATACAGTTCCAAAGTACACATCAACAGCACGTAATGGAGAAGGGTGACGAGAGAACACTATACATCAATGATAAGTCGTCGGAGGACAGTATTACAACTAGATTATCACAAAGTTTTTAAAACTATTTTGACTGCACTTGTACATGTGCAACTGAGTTTATCATACACTTGATAACACCTCCCTGACAGACAAAATGGCGGTGGACAGACAAAATGGCGAATTCCGGGTGTAATGTCACCACTGTATGTTGGGCAAATCAAAAGTGTAATTTTGGGACGGGCTCGTTCAAAGCGTCCTCTCACTACATTAAGTGACTACTCAAGAGAAAACAGATTCAGACATATCAGTAGATAATTCCGTACAATATAACAGGAAGGCGAACTTCAACACCATCCTAAATGCGTCTCTAAGTATCGTCAAGTCACACAAGTTCGATCGTCATGTAACTTCGATCGCCCATTTTGAATGGTAATTGTCGCAATATGTAAGGATAACTTACGATATCTGCAGCTTTGATCTTCTGGTGACACCACTTTCATTCGTTTGGACCGGAAAATGTTTCGTGTCAAGTTACCAAATGTACGTTATAGCTCATTTTCAGCAAACAACTACTTTTTAACCCTAGATCAATAATGTAACTTTATCAGCTCAAATAAAATGTAAACAGTATAATTTTCACACGTTGTAAATTGACAGCACCCCTGTCTTCTGTTTGTTTACATTGCTGGTCTAATTGTGACATGTCCAGACACGTGATATCCTTGTCAAAATTTAAAACTTTGGAAACAAGTAAGGGCCATTTCTTATAGAAAACTTAATGCTTTTTTGAGAATTTCCGTGAATTTGTACCTGATGAAGTTCGAGCTATTGCCTCATTGATAAATACAACCTGGGCACAATGTACCCACCCTACATGTCAGCACAGAACACATTTACGTTTCTGCAAGCCAGTTCGTGGTGTTTGTCTACATTCTGAGGTTTGATGCCCGTCACGATGGGCCTGAAGAATAATTCCCTGCATAATACTTTTATATAAGCTGAATATTTGTGACTTTTCATAGTTTTTAGAAGTATTGAAACATAAAATGAACGTTTCATGGACATAAATACCATAAAATTACTTGGGACTGCTCTAGCTCTGAATTTGACACAAGAGATCGTCCATACAAGTCATCCTGTTTACGCGACAAGCCAGCCAATCATATGATCGAACTTATGTGACGTAGCTTTCTGGGTCACTTGTGTTGACAGTGAGAGGGCGGCCATGCCGCGATTGTGAAAAGCAGTAAAAATACCTGGATTTTGGAAATGTTTGACATAAATAAACAAGTTTAGAGGTAAGAGATTTGAAAATAAGATTATATGAATAAAACTTTGAAACTTCAGCGACAGTTCTTAAGTGATCGAACTTACATGACACAAGGATAGGAAAGCACGGCGTTCTGTAAAGGATGTGCCCCTAACGGCTTACCACAGGCGGCAAATTTTGGGGCCAGGCTGGCAACACCAGGAACGGTCAATGGCTCAATTGCTTTATGTCATGTTTACAGACGAATCAAAACTTTGTCTCCAATCGACAAATGGCAGAAAACGTTGTTTGCACGGAGCCTTATGCCAGTGTCATTGTGCCATCGTTGGGGTAGGTATCACACATGACAGGCGAACTGACTTGGTCATCGTGGTTGGACATTTGACTGCCCAGCTATGTGCTAACGATATTTTGTCTTCCACTTCATAGAATCATAGTTAGAAATTTCAGACTGCAGCATGGCAAGGGCAGACCCCATCTTGGCCAGATCATTATGGTTATCACCGAAGTGAAGGCATACGCCTCCGGATAAGGGAGAATGAGTGAGTGATTGTGGCTTAACACCGCTTCAAACAGTATTCCAGCAGGCGCGTTGCAAGCCAATTTTTCGTGCAAGCCCGATAGGTTGCAAAACTTTATATTAGATAGTATTGAGGGCTTGCGCAACCTTTTAGCAACAATTATGTGTAAGGCCTGGCTTTTTTACAATGGTAGCAACCCCCTGTCCAGTTATTTCATGAGTGAGTGAGTATCGTTTTACGCCGCTTTTAGCAATATTCCAGCAATATCGCTGCGGATTACACCAGAAATGGGATCCACACATTGCACCGATGTGGGGAGTCGAATCAGTGATCTTCGGCGTGACGAGCCAACGCTTTAACCACCTGGCTACCCCACCGCCAAGTTATATCATGGCGTGTCTGCTTAACGCCATGATTTGAAACATTACCCAGAGTACTTCATTATTTGAAGATGCCTATAAGAAACGTATCAATTCAAGATGTCGGGTATAAATGTTTCATATCTATATTTAATGACAGGATATCAGGAATTAAATTACGGATATCACTAGAAAAACATGATTCAACATTTTAAAATTCTCTTACTATGTCATTAATCCAATTTAAGAAATAGAAAATATTTTCAAGATATCATAATTTCCTTCACTATGTTTGAATATAATTGTCCAATCTAAGAAAAAGTTATCATTCCACTTGTTCGCAACAATTTCTACTGTGATCTTCTGAATGCCTGGTGGGACTTGCCATCAAGACATTGGGGAAGCAGATTCACAAAATATCACCTCTCAATTTATCTGGTATAATCAAAACATCTTAATCGATAGGAAAACTATTTTACGTGTATGTTAAAACAAACTTTCTAATATATTCAGGAGTCATTAACTCAGTTAGAGCATTCCTCAAAAGAAGTAACGTCAACTTAGCAACTATATATGTTAAACTTTTTGACTAGACAAAACACGGAAGTCAAATATTTTACAGGGCTTTACTTGAAACAAAATCAATATA